AGGTGCACTGCTTTGAACAAGTAAGAGTCACTTGAATTGAAAAAAATATATAGTTGTATTGCTGTGAAAAAAGAAATTCCTTGATAAGTGGTGACTCTTGATGTAATTGTGCTTAAAGAAGTATGGGGTAATATACATTGATGTGAAGGTGGAGTTTTGGTTTGACATAAGCATGGGCTTGAATGTTAAAGTATATGTATTAAAGTGCTTAGGGAGGTGTAGTTACTCTTATATCTAAATGTATCCTAACCGTCTCGCAGCCTACATTACAACCAAATAAAGTCCTACTTGATCCTAGACTGAATGAGCTCGATTAGTAGAGTAATACACTACGGGCAAGCCCATGGTGCATCTTTTGTGGCATATGAATGTTATTTCTGAGAGTGAGTGAATTCTTTCTATCTTGAGTTCCTAAGTGCTCTTAAATTTTATTGTGTGGAACTACTCTTTTTTGTTGTGTGAGGGCACTTGATTCATGAAGGAAAGGTAATATCAGTGATCTCTATGTTAGAGTAAGTGGGTGAGTTGTTAATAATGCGTGGTACTTGTGAGTCAAATCTTGAGGTGAAGATGTTACGCTTTTGTGCTTAGTCTATTTTAAATATTCTTGGTGTAATGAGTTAGGAGAATTGTTTAAAAAAAAGGTCGTGTCTATGTAAAGTGTAGTTTGATTGCTCGAGGACGAGCAATGGTTTAAGTGTGGGGTGTTGATGATAGGCTATAATAGCGTATTTTAGTCGCTTATTACACTCAAATTTACTCCACTTTAATTGAGTTTGAGCTTTAATCGCTAGTGTTTTGCACTAATGGTGTGTTTTATGCCTTGTAGGAGTGATTCCGAGCTATGTAGATGTTATGAAATGAATTCAAGTGATTTGGAGCTTTGAAGTCTAAGTAAAAGCTCAAGGAATTAATCCGGGATCGTGTTTGGGGGTCAACGGATGATAGTTAGAGCGAACGAAGAATCGAGAAGGCATATTGTGCACTGTCTAGTAAAATGGATATAACATTTTGCTCAGAACTCCATTTGGGCTCCACAATATATATGGTTGGAAAGCTAACTCAAAGAGCTACAACTTTCATGTTTTACGTTTTTTCAAATTCTAAGCGGAACAGGGTGAAAAGTGAGCGTCAATAGCGCGGTCGCGCTCAGGCCGCGCTCGTCAGGCAGAACACTAGGCAATATGCGCGGCCACTAGCGCGGTCACGAGCCCGGCCGCGCTAGTCAAACCCGGGAAAAGTGTTTTTTCTTGTCTAGGAGAAAGTGTAATTGTTTAGGCCCTACCCTAGTGGGTATATATACATGGAAAAACGGTATTTTAAGGGGTTGGACATAATTTAGACCTAAGGAGGCTAAGGAGGCCAATTTTTGACACAGATTCGACCTAAGGAGGCAGAGACACAATAGGAGCAAGGCGGGGAATTCTTCTACGAGTTTTTCCTTCCTCTTCCTATTTTTCATTGTTGGTTATGACTGTTAGTATTGTAGTTTTACATACTATTATGAATAGCTAATTTGTTATCTAGGGTTTTGATGGAACCTTTTGTAGGATAAATTCTTGTTATGTTTTTATATAATTGAGCCGCAGTATTTTCTCTATTTGTTCAACTACGTTCATGTTGTAGTTAATTGATAGGATCCTCAATTAGCTGTGCCTATTTAGTATGTATTACTCGGGAGAGAGTGCATATTTAGGTAGTTGTTGAACAACATCACTCCCGACGTATGTGAGGAATCAATAACCAAGGGTTTAAAGGTGGGATTAGGGATAACGAAACCTTGGGTGCGATCTAAGTGAGCTGTAATTAAAGCCAGCTAGTGTAACTCGGGAGAGTATGTCTAGTAAATTATCGTAATTACTCGGGAGAGAATTACAACACGCAGAGCGCTCATGATCGGTAGAGAATACTTAGGCGAAATTATAGAAGACATAGCGGGAAGGATTCCGACAATTGGGAAAATCATAACTCTAGACCTCCTTAATCTTTTCTCCAACCTGTAGTATCTTTAGTGTTAATTTATTATTTTAATTTGTTAGTTAGTTAGTTAAACACAAGAATCTTAATATCTATAAGTTAGGAATTGTTCAAGCTTGTATTCTTGGTGATAGTGAACAACTGTAGCTAAGCCTTAGTTCTCTGTGGGATTCGACTCCGGACTTGTAACCCGGATTATATTTGCAACGATCGCTTAGTCCTTTTTATAGGCATAGTTGGGCATGATCAATTGTCTTTGAGCCGAGGGTCTCCCGGGAACAACCTCTCTATCCTGAGAGGTAGGGGTAAGGTCTGCGTACACTCTATCCTTCCCAAACCTCATTTGTGGGATTATTACTAGGTTTGTTGTTGTTGTATATTTCTCCTACTATTTTAGGCCATTGGGATGGGGGGGGGGGGGTGGTTTCCTAGTCCAACTATTCCACTCTCTATCTCCATAACTCTTTCTCGTGTCCTTCAATAATGTTAAGCAACATGAACAAGAGGAAGCAAATGCTTGTACCTTCCTTACTAGAACTAGAGAATCTAATTGGTGTAGAGCTAATTTTCCCCTCCATTAATTAGTCTAATTTCTATGAAATTTATTGGAGCTATCCAACTATTTTGTTGGCAACATTAAGAACGAGTATCAAACCTAAAGTGTCTCGAATGTGAGATCCAGAAAACCTCCATTTTGACAACGAATTCATAGGCCCTTTTTTGTTTTTTGACTATAGTTGAAAAAGGGCAAGATTGGTCCCCTAATGTCAAGTTGCTCTCATTTGATTCTGTTGATGCTTCATTTAGTTTGAATTTGACCTCATTTTAGATAGCATAATCCCCGGCTGAAAAAGTTTTAGATTAGATAACTTTTGTGCATAGCTAATGTTTCATTCTCTTTTGGAAAATTGAAGATGGAAATAATAAATCTCGTCACTACTTTACGGATATTAGTTAAGATACTTACTAAGTATATGTGGTCGGTTGTGCTCATGCTATACTTCTGCACCTTGTGCGCAGATCTTGAAGCTGCCTAGCTATGGAAGACGAAGCCTGGCATTGAAGACGCCCCAACGTTCCAGATTCAAGCTACCTTTTGTTCATGATAGTTAAAACTTAAAATCCTATTTATGTAAACTTCAAACAGATACTGTATTTATTCTTCATACCAGCTTGTAAATCTGATTATAATGGTTCATGACCATGTACTACCAGTCCTTGGAAAGTTGTATAAATTTCAATTATTTTACTTATGGCTTCATATTATTTCCTGGCTAGGAATGGAAAAAGATGATATTATTTTTTTTTTTTTTTTTTTTTTTTTTTTTTTTTTTTGCTAACATTGAAATCGGAATCCGTCCACATACAAAAACTCACTTTTCTTGGATATGACTTTAATTAAAAGGTACTACTACTCGGTGGTAAATTTATCTACATTGGACGAAATTCTAGTAAATGATAGTATTCATAACTTGTTACTTTTCCCCCAAAGCAAATGGGGTTAGGTATTGCTTGTTCTAGTCTTGTCTGAATTTACAGTTTTTCTAGTCAAAAGTAAAGGAGGAGAAAAAGTTGCTGTGAGAGATACTCCATTCTTAGCCAGAAAATAATTTATAAAGTATTTGTAATGAGACAAAATTGTATAATTTTTTTAGTTATTTTTAAGAACCATAGGTACATATATTATCTGGCATTCCGCGTAGTCTTGTGCTAGTCACAGGTGCTTACAAATCAATGGTAAGTAAGTACAACTCATAAATAACAAATGAATAAAACATGAATGGTGATATAACCAAGATCTTCTTCATCATCATGGAATATATGCATATGTATATTAAAATGGTGAATTTGTGTCACCGTCGAAGGCTCTAGATTTATAAACCAATCATATGTTTCAATAATATTTCTTAAAACAGCGGCAATTTATGCCATTAGTATGTCGTAGGCCGAAAATAAATAAATCACAGTATCTTTCTTTAAACGAGTTAAACTTGAAAATATAATTGTTGGGCTAAACTAGTCCAAATATACTCTTAATATGATGTGAAATTGTCTGTTTTGGGCCAAGCCTGCACGGTTTTCCCCAAAAGGCCTCACACCATTAAGAGATCCCTACACCTTATATGTAGACTCCCAAACTTTTCAGCTACCAATGTGGGACTTTGTTCGCACGGCCAACAATCTCCCCCTCGAACTATGTTCCACGTGGCCCACTATCACGATCCATAAGTCAGTTTTCGAGATTACTGTGGGCCACCCACATTGTTAGAATATTATGGCAACCGAAGCCCGTAACTAGCTTCTTCTTGTGTGCGTGCCGCCCCGCACCATCACTTCGCCATCTCCATACTCGTCCCGCTGAACCTGGGCTCTGATACCAGTTGTTGGGCTAAACTAGCCCAAATACACTCTTAATATGGTGTGATATTGTCCGCTTTGGGCCAAGCCCGCACAATTTCCCCAAAAGGCCTCACACTATTAAGAGATTTCAGCTACTTTGTTCGCACACCCATCAATAATAATCCAATATCCTGGGTTCAGTCACGAGTTGAGATGTCCTCATTTTGTTTGATATGCTACAAGGTTCCATATACTACTCCTATAATTTTGCAATGTCCTAATGCAGTGAAAACAATTCTACAAAAAATTTATCAAGAAAGGTAGGGGTAAGGTCAGTGAACACACCCTTTTCAAAACTCACACGTGGAATTATATTGGGTTTGTTGTTGTTATTGTTTTATCAAGAAAGGGCATTAGATTAATATAATCGTAATCATAAAATTAGCTCTGACAGTCATGCCTGACGCTTGAGTATTACACCACTATATTATTATTGTTTTAAACTAATTAAATTGTCTTCTTGTTAGAGACATTGCCAGCTAGCCAATTGTTGTGCTCTAGTGTATAGTTTCAGAGAATTTCTGTTCCCAAAAAAGTAATGGCACAAAAATACAAGTTTTGGCAAGGTGTTTAAGTCCCCACTAGCAAATAAGAGCTCATTTCTCTTCTTATATATAAGTAGTTTGGTTTTCCTAAACGAGGAAATACTATAAGCTACTGAGAAACAAGTAAAAGTCTCTAGGAAAAACTTCCTCTGCATAATTTTCAGCCATTTTCTGGGGAAAGTGAGACAATTCTCAGGTAAGTAAAAGTTCTTTCAATCCACTCAATCTCTGAAAAATAGATGAATGCATGACATCTCTATAAATCTTGTATATAAAACCAAATATTATTGAGATGCATCCCCCTAGTCCAGTCATTCTGCTATTTTCCTTTTCTAAGCACATTCCTTTTTTTATGTCAGTCCACATTTATGACCCTTGTGGTCCGGCAGTTCTCCACCCCGCGCATAGCGGGAGCTTAGTGCACCGGGTTGGCCTTTTTTTTTTGTCCACATTTATACCCAATGGCAGATCGAGAATGCAATCAACAGAATATGGACTATGGATATATATGTGAAAAAAATAATAAAGTTTCAACAAATATTAGATCTTTAACCATTATTTCAAAGTGCAATGTGTTAAGTAGTAAGAACATAGATGTCGAACCCATCAAATTTAAATTCTGGATAGAAACAACAAAAGCAAGTCTCTCATGAAGAACAAGATTACTGCATGTTGTGCCTTAGATATATCAATAGTACTAATTTTTTCTGGTTAACTTTAGAGTTTTCTTCTCATTTTTCCTATCCGGACTCTCCCTTATCCTTATCAGGCAGTTCAGAATTCTTTTTCGCCGAACCGAAGACCCTCAACTTAACCCCTCGCCAACTGTACTCAAATGAAATGTCAATTCCTTCCTTAATGGATCGATCCATTATCTCAATCCGATCCTTTCTATGGATGAATAAAGCCATTATTAAATAAAATAGAAAAAAACAAAGAAGACCTGTCCCGGCTGAGGTATTTCATTATTTAAGTCAGTCTTTGTTTATTATGTATAGATAACAGAATAAGTTGACGATAACGACAACTGCTAATAGCATGTATATTAAAAAGGGCAGCCCGATGCACTAAGCTCCCGCTATGCGCGGGGTCCAGAGAAGGGCCGGACGACAAGGGTTTATCGTACGCAGCCCTACCCTACATTTCTGCAAAAGGCTGTTTCCACGGCTTGATCCCGTGACCTCCTGGTCACATGGCAACAACTTTTCCGTATTTTGATTAATGAATACTCTTTTTTCGGTTTTATTATTTGTTTTGGTTCAGCAGAGATGAAGAGTCGTTTCGGAACTCCATTTGAAGGCATTGCAGAGGATATTCGAGGACGCGTTTCTTGCTACAAGCAGGATTGGGTTGCTGGAATTAGATCTGGAATAGGGTATAGTATTATTTTTCTTTATTTAAACATGTTTTTCAAATGATAGTTTATGTGTTTCTTGCTTTTAAGTTCTAATCTAACTGCTACTTCTGTTTGTATATACCAGGATATTGGCTCCAACTACGTACATATTTTTCGCATCTGCTCTTCCAGTTATTGCTTTTGGAGAACAATTGAGCCGAGATACAGGTTCTTTTACATTTCTAACTTTTGATGAAATCCAATTTCTAAAAGCAATCAAATGCATTTCTGATATAAGTTTTCCTATAGACGGGAGCTTGAGTACTGTGGAAACTTTAGCTTCTACAGCTATTTGTGGTATCATTCATTCAATACTCGGCGGGCAACCTCTTATGATACTAGGAGTTGCAGAACCTACTATTATTATGTACAGTTACCTATACAAGTTTGCTAAAGGGAGAGAAGAATTGGGACAGTCCCTTTACTTGGCTTGGGCTGGATGGTATGTTATATTAATATGTTAAATTTCAGATAAGATTGTTTTATAGGCAAAAAAATCATGATTCTCATATCTATGATGTAAATTTTGCAGGGTTTGTGTTTGGACAGCTCTCATGTTGTTTCTTCTAGCAATATTTAATGCCTGCTCTATCATTAGTAAATTTACAAGGATTGCTGGGGAGACTTTTGGCATGCTTATCGCCGTGCTTTTCATTCAAGAAGCAATTAAGGTATTCTAACTGCAGAAACAAAAAGTTCTTTTTAAGAAACTCTTGACTCTTGGTACATATGAAAGAATGGATTTTTAATTAGAATTACGTTTGAAATGTAACTCTGTAGGGATTAGTGAGCGAGTTTCATATTCCTAAATACGAAGACCCAAGTTCAGAGAAAAATCAATTCCATTGGCTTTATACAAATGGCCTACTTGGAATCATATTTACCTTTGGCCTTCTCTGCACAGCCTTAAAGAGCAGGAAAGCAAGGTCGTGGTGGTATGGCACAGGTTTGTAATCCTAACATGGTATCAGTGTGTTGTCACTTAATGAAAATATATGTTTCTAATGATCACATCTTCTTTTTCATATTAAATCAGGCTGGATTAGAAGCTTCATCGCGGACTATGGAGTTCCTTTAATGGTTCTTATGTGGTCAGCTCTCTCATTTATCGTCCCAAACAAAGTTCCATCTGGAATTCCTAGAACTCTCTATAGTCCCCTTCCTTGGGGATCTGCATCTTTATATCACTGGACTGTAATGAAGGTGTGAATAATTTTGAAAGTTTATTACTCCTTCAATTAGTAATGAGATATCTTGAAATTTTAACTCATAACTCAAACTGCAGGATATGGGGAAGGTTCCTCCAGCATACATATTTGCTGCCATAGTACCGGCTGTGATGATAGCAGGACTCTATTTTTTCGATCACAGTGTTGCTTCTCAGATGGCACAACAAAAGGAGTTCAACTTAAAGAATCCTTCTGCTTATCATTATGATATCTTACTCTTGGGATTTATGGTAACCATATCATCTGTAGATTTCGTCTACTTTTTTCTAATTATATGTCTATATTTCAATAATCAAGACTAATGACAAGGGTTGATACTGTCTCCTCAGACTTTGCTATGTGGTTTGATTGGATTGCCTCCTTCAAATGGTGTCCTGCCACAATCCCCTATGCACACTAAAAGTTTGGCTATTCTTAAGAAACAGGTAAATATGATTAAATTTGTCGATGACTATTAAGATACCTATTATGTTGCCTCTAGTGCTGCTACGTTGAACGCTAAACACTTCATGTATTACTAACCAGCTGATTCGGAAGAAGATGGTTCAAAGTGCAAAAGAGTGTATCAGGAGAAAAGCTAGCAACTCTGAAATCTATGGCAACATGCAAGCTGTATTCATAGAGATAGATAGTTCTCCTGTTGTAAGTCTATCTTCTCATAATTGCATCAATTTTTGAGTTAGATAAACCTAATTCTAAACCACTTTGTCCAACTTTTAACCATTATTCTTGTTTCAAACAATGCTAGCGTCGAATACTGAGACTGACACATTTTATTCTTTCATGCCTATTGCAGAATGCAGTAGCTAAAGAATTGAAACACTTGAAAGAGGCAATAATGAAACATGAAATTGAAAATGGAAATGGGGAAAAATCAAATGGCAAATTTGATCCTGAGAAGCATATTGATGCTTACTTGCCCGTTCGAGTCAATGAACAAAGAGTGAGCAATCTATTGCAGTCACTACTAGTAGCAGCATCAGTAGGTGCTATGCCAGTAATAAAAAAGATACCAACCTCAGTTCTTTGGGGATATTTCGCCTACATGGCTATTGATAGCTTGCCAGGAAATCAACTATGGGAAAGAATCTTGCTTCTCTTCATCACCCCTGGAAGGAGATTTAAGTAAGTTATTTTGTGATATATGAAGATTGAAGTGCTTAAATAAATATATCAAGCCTTGTTCTTTTAACTAGCACTGATTATGTATATAATTTGTATATTATATGTATATTTATACTTAATATACACAAAAATATACCTTTGCCGGCTTTATCTTTAGGGCGACCCAAAAATATAATGATCCCTTTACAAAAGTAAAAAGTAACATATTGTGACGGTTGAGGCCTAGCTGTCGAGGTATTGTTCACTTTGACCAAACCCTTGGCGTCTCGTAGTTATTTTAACTAAAAGGTGCCTCAATAGTTGAATTCCTCTAATGTTGCTCTTTATGATCCCTAACTTGGGATTTGCCTAGGGCAAGCTTCATAGTGATCCGCTTCCGAGTTCAGCCGTCAGTGATCCGTGGGCTGTTACATTTTATATCACAAATAGATACACACAAACAATAACATATGCCCTTTTTTAACATTATGAAAAATTATGTGACTTGTTGAACTAACCTGAGTTGATCATAATGGCAGGGTTCTTGAAGGGGTACATGCATCTTTTGTGGAGTCAGTACCATTTAGATGCATGGCAATCTTCACAGTATTCCAACTTGTATATTTACTTGTGGTATTTGGAGTCACTTGGATTCCCATAGCTGGCATTCTATTCCCCTTGCCATTCTTTCTCCTCATAAGCATAAGGCAGCATTTGCTTCCCAAATTGTTCCATCCTCGTCATTTGCAAGAGCTCGATGCAGCCGAGTATGAAGAAATTGCTGGTACCCCAAAACGTGCACTTAGCTTCTCTTTCAGGGTAATCTCATGTCTGCTTTATTTAGGATTTTGATGTCTTAAAAGATATCTAGCAGCTTATAATAAAACTGTCAAATATTTATTAGGAAACGGAGGCAACTGAAGAAGGCAAAATAGAAATTTGTGATGCTGAGATCTTGGATGAACTTACAACCAGCAGAGGAGAGTTGAAATTCAGGACTGTCAGCTTCAGCGAAGATAAACGCCCACAGGTAGACAATTGTTTAATTTCATAATCATGTGACCATCTCATCTTAAATTGTACAGAATCTAATGCTACCTTTGCAGGTTTATCCAACTGAGGACAGTACAGAATCTGAGTGACCGAGTTTGATCATTGTTTAGGGTTAAAATTTTAGGACGAGGTGACTATATATATATAGTGATGAAACAGGTTATTGACTCTTGTATCAACTATGGGAAAATAGAAGTTAGGAGCAGACAGATATGAAGATATCTGTGTTTCTGGATTCTAGAGAAATTTGTAATGTTTGGGTTGGTACATACTGGTATTTTGTCCATAAATGTGGAGCGTGTAATGCTATAGACTGTAGGTCTAGCATGAGAGTGATGAGTTTTATAGCAATATTCTACAAGCAGATTTTTGATTTGAGAATGTACAGTATTTGATAGTTGAATGATTTCGAACAATTATGAGTTAGTGCTGTTAAATAGTGGTGTTGATAAGAACTCTATTATTTCAAAGCCCTGTTTAAGGAAATTGTAAACATCTTCGGAAAGTTACTCTGTAATAGCCAAAAAGTTTATGGTTTTTGTATATATACATATATATATATACACACAAGAGGGGTTAATTGTAGCCTTTTAAATTTCTAGTCGACTACTCTTCAGACCTAGTCGACTTATGCGAAAACAGCCTGCACAGAACTATTAGTCCTTTCGATTTAAACAAGTGTTAATCACAATAAACATTAAAGGAACAAAATATAATATGAAAGCGATAAAGTAAATGACACCAGGAATTTTTATACTGGTTCCGAATCAATGTGGAATCCTAATCCAGTCCTCTGGGTTGCAAGAGTGTTGTCTTTTAGAGCTCTTTGTAAACTGAATTGAGTACAGCCTTTGTGGTTTTCAGCGATCACCATCAACGTTGACAGGGTTGGTTTTGCACTCGCTCACCAACAACGAACAAGAGTTGGTTTTCACTCGCTCACCAACAACGACCCTTTGGTTTTCACTTGCTACCAAAGAAACAAACAATGACACCACCTCTCGGACACACTGCCTCTCCAATATTTTTGTCTCTCTTCTCTCTTTTGTGTACACAGTAAATCTAAAAGTGAATTACAATGCTTGTTAAGAGTAGAACGAAGAACTTGTAGTTGGGTAGACAATTGTATAGAAGGTTGCGCACTTTTGCTGTTGTAGGTGTTTTCTCTTTTATACTTGGTCGTTGAATATTCTAGCCTTTGCAGCGGTCTTCTAATTTTGGAAAAGGATTTCCTTTGTTGCTGCTCCAACTTTCCTTTATTGCTTCTTGCTCTTTTGAATATGATCTCGATCCTTGTCTCGATTAAGTCTGATGTTGAAAAAGTAACTACTCTTTCCTTTGAGCATAAATGAGTATCCATACTTCAAGCCATCTTGTACAAATTTGATATCACATGATTTGAGATCTTTTCCTTTACAATTCCAAAAATCAAGGCCATATTATTTAATGCTTTTTGTATAAAAGATTCTTTCCATGTAAGCCATCAAGACTTGGACGCTTCCATGTGTACTGGAGGAATTGTCTTTCTTTCGGTGTAAGCATGATTCTCTTTCCTTTAAAGATTAGATACTGATGAGATTCTCTTCCTTTGCCTCCTTGTACTTCTTTCCTTTTCTGATAGATTTCAAAATATCTTTGACTCCTTTCTTGATCTTGAAAACTAATCTCTATCCATAATATAAATTATACTATACACATAATATATTTTCTTTCCATAAAAAATATATTCTTCCTTGACCTTGTAGTATCTCTTCCATATAGTATATTCCTTCCACAAAATAGTAGATCTTCTCCACGATTTTAGCAACTTTCCTTTCAAGATGTTTAAAAACTTTCCATCCATAATTTTCATAGATTCTTCTTCTGATATTGTAGTAAGCCATTCAATATTTGAAATTTCACTTTCAAATATTATTCCTTCTATGACGTTTGGAGATTAAATCTCTGAAATAATCTTCCTTGATAAATTTTTAACATGATATTCTCTTTCCCATATTTGTTTGGATCTTTACCAACATCTTCTTTCTTGAATAAACCTGTACAAAAATAAGATTACCACAAGTAAATGTTCTTTGATTAATAATATGTTGGTTTGTTATCATCAAAATTAATACGTGAAACCTTGAAGCTAATAATCTCCCCATTTTTTATGATGGCAAACCATTGAGTAAAAAATAAAAAAATTTAATCAAAGACTTAATTAAAGGCAGTGATAAGCTAGATAAACGGGTTACTTCCCTGAAGTCTTCTTCTCGAAATGCATGTAGTACATCAAGTGTGAACTCCCCCTCACTCTACGCATTCCTCAGTTATGCTCCCCCTGACTCCATACTTTCTTCCTGAGTTTTCGAACTTTTGTACATATTAATTTTTTTCCCTTTTGTCATCATCAAAAGGGTGAATTAACATGTAGGGAATATGCAAAAACGTATGTATGACAAGATATAAATAACATACAGACAATTACACATACTACTCACATATCCAGTTAAAAGTATGACTATAACTTATAATCATCCAAGGAGTTATAAACGATCATGCAATTAAAAGCATTAACCCAAGGCTAAAAAAATTATACGGTCTAAAAGACAAGCTTTTAAACAACAGAGGAAAACTATTTGCCTTACAAAACATATAGAGTAGCAGAAAAAAAAACTTTGAGCCATTAAAAAGTTTTGTGACTCACTCATATATTATCAAAGACTTGAAAACTTACTGCTACGAAATGATACAAGATGACATCATTACCATACGAACTTCTTTTGTAAATGTGATGAAATATCTGCAAGATGATGGTCAATGTCCTCCAGGCAGATTTTCAAAATACTTTCTGTCACAAGCAATCTAATGACATGTGTTATGCCTTGTGCTCTAGTTTTGTCTTTTTCATGACATGAGAATTTTTTTAAAAATCTCCATCCCAATTTTTTTATTTCAGTCCACTTTGTTGCCTGCAAGGTTTGCATCTGAAAATATCCTACTAGATCAAAGCAATTAGTTCTTGTATATAATAATCCATAATTTGGAATGGCAACTAAAAATCTTTTGTGGCACTATAAAGGGATATTATGGGATCAGGTATACCAAAATATTTATCATAAAAATAGAGAGTCGGTGATACCTTGGTGCTTTATTTGATCGTTAGACTTACCGAATTTCTCCTTGCTTCGCATTATTTGGAATGTGAAGATGAAGGTTAATTCTCCATCATACTTATTTCCAAACCGATCATCTTCTAGAGGTTTAAAAATGCTTGACATGCTTTTGGTTAGCATTACCAAAAAAAATATGCTCTTGTAAATGCATATTTGGAAAGAATAATCATCATATGATAAACATGAATTTGTTTCAAATGATAACTAGTCTTGGCCACAAGAGAATGTGATTCAAATAGCCTTCAATTCCAGAGAGAGGTTAGAGAATAATGTTATGCATTTTTTCAAGCCATTTAGAAGAATATTTCAACATCCATACGAAAATAGTTTACAAACTTTGTAATATGCACATGAAAAATGATGTTCTAACAAAACTCTCTAGGAAGAAACAAACCTTCTTGTTGTGAAACCTTGGGCTACAAGTTCACACATAATTTTCACAACCTTACCAATCTTATCAGGCTTTAGATGTCCATGATCGCAGCTCCTTTATTTGGTACTGGATTTCCATACTTTTGATTCTTTCAGCTTCGCTTAATAGATTTTGCATTGCTAGAATCCAGCATTCATCGTTTAATTCTTCTTCATGACTGTCTAGATCAACTAGTGGTGTCATATTATTGCAAGCTATTCACTGCAAGTTCTCCATCCTTATTCATAATTTCTTAGAAAAATATTAGTATAAAGAAAAATGCGCATGTTGAGATTTCTCTACAGCTAATATTCTGAATTTCATAAAATCGTAAGTAGTGATGAATAAGGAATATGTCAAGAGTCTTACCAAGACAATTGCAACCAAAGAAAATAAGATAACCAAAAATTGATTTTTCTTCCTTCCCATAGCTAGACAGAATTTCATTCAAGATAAAATCCAATGAAAAACATTAAAGCACATATAAGCCAATGATGACAATTTATGCAAAAATGATGCTTTCTTTTCAAGACTGCTTTCAACTGAGGCGTCAAACTAAATGTGAAAGATCATGCTTGTTGCAAAAAAATGTCAAACAAATACTATAAAAACTCGCATCGATGATCACAGCAAATGCGCTATTTCTTATTAAAAAATATGACATGTGCAAAAGTAAGGATAATCATCAATAGAAATATATATATGTACCTTCCAAGCTTTTGGCAAGCATTTGAAACAAAAAATATAGAAATAATCAACAACTGATTTTTCTTCCTTCTATATCTCACATAAGGTATCCTCTAATATAGATACAGAACATAAACCAATAAAAGCGAATAATAGAGATCCATACCTTTCGTCTTCAAGCTATTGAGTATTGCCCAAAATGTTTCATGTGCAGAAGTGGCTTCAAAGTTAAATAACATTCTTGGTCTTGAGTGAAGTATTAGTATTCTTACCAAGAAAGTGCTATAACACAAATAATTCACTTCAAGAATAATCTTAGTGATACCAGTCACACTTTTAGATCATACGTCGTATTTACTTCATCCTCTGTGAATATGTAATAACTTTGAAGCATGTTCCTCGACCAGCCAATATGCAAACATCTTTAATCCTTTTTATGGCTGGACTTAGAAATTCCTGCAAAACAAATTAGTTTGTTTTTTGTACCCAAACCTTTTTGGGTCCTTCATGGTTAGTAGCTTGTATAATTGGAGATACATGTAACTGTTTAGGTCTCCAAATAAATTTTGATCTATCATGACTTTTGGCATAATTACATGCAAACGCCTTATGTCCAAAATTACCAAGTAGTGACATGTAACAAAAGAAGTAGAGTATTTACCAGCAGGTGCCTTAGACGACTTGAGGCTTTCTTGAGTCGACTTGTTTGAAGTAGGGCGTCTACTAATAGATCCCTTGTCAGTCAATTTGGAAAAATAAGCCCGCTTGTTCGGCCGATCAAAATGGTGACGGGAAGATATGTGCAAACTATTCATTTGTTTGCGAAGTTCCACATTTTCTTCTTGAAGTAAGTCATTTTCAACCTGATATTCTTCGAGTAGAATATCCCACCCTTCCTTTTCTTTTTCAACTTGTTATATTCTTCAAGTAGTTTTTCTTCTCCCGTTTAGTCTTCATGAGCTCATCAAGAATTTTTCTCATATCTTCTAAAGCATGTTCTATGATACTTTGAAGTTCATTACATTTATCACAGTCATGAGATCTTATCTCACTTGTTTCACTTGGGGCCATGAAACAGTTTCTTGTAGATTCCTCATGATCGATGTCTGATATATCTTCATCACTCCAGACACCAAAAGATTTTCTTTTCTCACTTGTCTCACTTCGTGCCATGAAACAAAGGTTGGCAACTCCATTATGGTTTTTATCTGGCATATATTCATCACTTCATACGCTGGAAGATTTTCTCTTTCGATTGCCCTTGGATAGTTTCCTTTTTAGTTCTGGACAGTTGGCTTGGATGTGACCATAATTTCCGCATTTGTAGCACTTTCTATCATTGTTTTTCTGCTCACTTATTTCATTACCTTTTCTAGAACTTGATTTGACTCTTCCATTTTTCTTTCTTCTTCGCGTCGTGTTAGAGACAACTCTAGAAAATAATGCAATATCATCTTGATGTTTGTCTCCTTCTTCTTCGGCTTCACTTTCAGACTCAGTAATAGTTGATTTAGAAACAACACTCTTTTTCTTCTCTTCATGTTCATGATTTTTGAGATGGGTTTGCTCAAAGGCTATAAGGTCTCCACGAAGTTCATCATATGATAGTTTGTCGAGATCTCCGTATTCAAGAGCAACAACTTTCGATTGCCATAAAGCGGGTAAACTTCTTAGAATCTTTCTGACTTGTTCACCACTTGAATATGGTCTTCCAAAGGATTTTAGATCTCCAGCTATTTTGCTAAATCGTCCAAACATGTCTTCAATGAATTCATCTTCCTTCATTTGAAACAACTCATAATCACGAATTAGACGGTTTATCCTTGTCTCTTTTACTTTACTGGTATCCCACATTTATTTGGCTGTGCCACAACTTGATATTTTCTCAAATTCTTCTCCGCTTATATCTTTTTGCCTTTGAAATTATCTGCACGATCGCCATATGCTCATCAGTATAATCATCAATATCAAAGGATTCAGTAGATACATGTCCTTCTGGTTTCTTTTCTGGTTTGGACTGTAGGAGAGGAAAGTCACCCTTCTTGATGACTCGCCATACTTTGACATCATAAGACTTGATGAAAGCTTCCATTCGAGCTTTCCAGTGAGTGTAATATTGTCCGTTGAAGTATGGTGGTCTTAATGCAGAAGTCCCCTCTTGGAGTAAGGCTCCGATAACTGTGTGTGCTGACATGATCTTTTCTCACTTACTGTTAAGAAAAAGTAAAAATGCGAGACATGCTCTGGTACCAATGATTTTATATATATATATATATATATATATATATATATATATATATATATATATATATATATATATATAATACACAATCAGTGTATAATATTTATATACTTGATTAGCTGATGTAACTATTTATGATTGACCGACCAAATGTGTAACTTGCCTAACATCTAGGGAAAATGACACTGTATATCCATTCTCAAAATAATAGCCTAAAAAATATATATATATATTTGTATATCTTTTGCATATATATAAACATTCTATATGTTATATACAATAATTATACATATTTTATGTATTTTTTAGCTACCGAATGCAAATAGTTTCTGGGACGGCCATATGTATAACTTGCCTAACATCTAATGGCACGCAATGACAAAACGTTCTTGGAATAAAAGGGATAAGACATTGGGCTCATTTTAGCAATATATCTTTGTTTCTTTCTGGAATCCCTGAAAGAAACTGAAGCCGAAATAAGCGGAAAGCTACACTTTTGATGGGCTTCCAGTCAGGCCCAATTAAAGTCAATAAACCCATCTTATTAGCTGGAACTCAATTATTGAGAAAAACAAATTGTTATGTTTTACAAAAACATTTCAACGAAATACTTATTGCAGTAAATTAATCTTATTTTTCATAGTTTTTATTTTTTAGTCATCAGGTCTGTTGTTAATGTGCTTATATCATCAGTCAGGTTATTCACTGCTGAACAAAACAGTGGATGATCGTCAAAATTTTATAAAGATTTAGAAGAGGGAGATTGGGGATTTGCAATGTACACACAGAACATTTGATCTGGAAAATTTTATATTTGTACAAGCATGAACATATATATATATAAGTATGTCAACTACAACTTCTGGAAAATAATGGGAGCACCATATTGTGGACATAAGAGCATTAAAATAGTAGGAGCATGTTGATAAGTTGGAGAAATATCAAAAGAAAAACGTTGCAAAATCATAGCTATTGCTAATTTAGCTTGCATAACGGCTAAATTTTGTCCAATGCAACGGCGGGCGCCTAAGCCAAAAGGCATAAATGCCATTGGGTGTTTTGCTGCTTGTGCCACTCCTCGACCAAATCTTGCTGGATTAAATTCATTAGCGTCTTGTCCCCATAATGCTGGATCATGATGAATTGCTATAATTGGTATAAGAAGCTCTGTCCCTTTGGGTAATTTGAAATTCCCCAATTGTGTATCGATTTTGGCTCTTCTGATTGCTGCCACTGCTGGTGGATATAGCCGCAGGGATTCATTCAAGATCATTCCGAGCTGCATGCCATCAAAAATATTGACTACAACATGAGTGGACATCTTAAGAAACTAAGTAGGCGTTTAGACATAAAACTTATAATTTTTGAAAAAAAATAATATTTGGAGTTAAGTTGAAAAATGGAATTTGAAATTTAAAATTACGCTTAGATATGCATTTCAGTTAAAAAAATATTGTAGTACTTTTGTGGGTGGGGAAAGAGACATTTTCTGAAAATTTTGAAAAAGTGGTCAAAATTTGAAAAACTTATTTTCGAAATTTTTTTGCAAAAACCTAAAAAATTTAATAGACAGACACATTTTTGAAAAGAAATTTATGGACAAACGGGCCTTAAAACTAACACATATCAAAATTTGCACAAGTTTGTATTCAAGGCACCACAACAAAAATCTAAATTTTTTTACCACTATTATAGGTCACTTAAATAATACAGGTAATATTCACAGTAACAAGTATGGTTAGATAGCTTAAAATTATGGTAAGTAACCTATTATAGTAGGTAGTAATATTTAACCTTCATATATGGTAACAATGTACATTTTTGTCCTATGATTAGTACTTAACAGCGTTAACATCTGATGCTGGTAAATTCTTTATGGAGAAAATATGAAGGGCGCATAAATGAGTAAAGCGAATAGTGAAATTTGAGATTTCTTTACTTTTAATAAGCATTTAAATCAAAAAGCTTGATGATCCGGTGTAATTAGTAAGACAAATATATAAAAAGCTTATCCAAAAAGAGAGTGAAGAATTATCTGACAGAACAAAGTGTTGGTCTGTTTACGGTTTACCTTTACCACATGCATAGACCAAAGTGTTGGATTGTTTTAACAAAAAGCATGATCATGGTAATTAAACAAAAGGTATAGTGTAATTAACTTTAATTAATTTATGCTTAATTACCGTCTTAAGCTTGGCGAGGTCGTCTCTAGATGGGGTATCACGTGATCCACAGACAGACAAAACCTCCTCACGTGCAAGTTCCTGCCACTGAGGATGCATGGCCAATAAAATGGTCGTCCACGTCAGCAAATTTGACGTCGTATGTTTGCCGGCAAAGAAGATGGTCTTGCATTCCTCGACAATGTCATAAACTGTAATATTTGAACTACTATTTGTTGTATATTCATTACTTGTACTAGCTTTGATCATTACTTCCAATAAATCATTCGGACATTCGTCTGACAACAACACCTGAGTACCCTCCGAATTTTTTCTTCTTTCTTCAATAAGCTTTATCAAAGATTTTCTAACCTCTTTATCCAATCTCCAAGAAATTCTATTCTTTTTAGTAGGCAAAAACCTGTCATAACACAATATAAAACAATTTTTTTTTCACTTTACAATTGTTTCAAGATTCTGCACAAAACACTAACTACCAAATCATAACGCGTTATTCTTCATATATGGTTCTATATATGGCACAAGCCCGAACAACCGGTTCGACCGAACCTAGTAATTTTTGTTCAAACAGTGTATACTATTTAAAATTCATTAAATATATTTAAATATTAAATTTAGAACTCAGTCACTAACTAATAAGAATATTTGTAATATATAATTGTATATTTACCTGTATCCAGGGATGAAAACTTTCTGATAAGCTTCAGTGGCATAAACCATTTGTTGTGCTTGCAAGTCAAAGATGGCTCGTCCATCTTCGTAGCTGTTTCCGAATACAATACGCGTAATCACATCTTCTGCTAAAGTTTGGAACATTTTTGAGACTTCAATTTCCACCTTGCCGCAATTTGACGACATTTTTGACCATTTGTCCAACATCTCCCTCATGCTCTTCCCCATCATCGGAATCATTAGCTATATATATGTAGAAAAATTTAATATTAATGTACTAAGAATTAGAAATTTTTATACGTATACTTTTTTTAAACACTGACAACTAACTTGAAAAAATACAGCAATTTATGTATGACTAACCTTGAGATTTTCAATGTAGAGTGTAGGAGTAATAATCTTCCTATGGTGAGCCCATTTTTCTCCTTTTAGACTCAATAAACCATCACCTTCAAGCTTCTTTACAAGAGGGGGTGACTCATTTTTCTCAAAGCTCTCTGATTTCAGGACGAAAATATCCCTAATGAGAGCTGGATCAGATATGGTCACACGAGCCGTTGGTCCAAACCATATAACAAATGTTGAACCTACAATATTTATTTGATATATATACCACCAAAATTAGTTTGTAGAATTAAACTATAAACAAGCGCATTGACTGTAGTAGAGCAAATAAATTGTTCCTTTAAGGACAAATTAAATAAAAATGACAAGGTATCATAAAAGAGAAATTAATTGGAAAATTTAATACCATAGATTTTCTTCCAATGATGGTAAAAGGGGAGAACTCTAGGAAGAATGTCATGAGAGAAAGTCAAAGGGCGAGATAATAATGGAGTAGTGAAACTTGCAATTTCTTTGAGGTTTCCGAACAAAAAATGATATTTAGGACCTCTGATTCCTTGTTTCCAAAAATATTTTTGAATTCTTTTTGGTTTCCACCAGAGATGAATGATCGCTCTCTGTGCAAATAACAGTAATACATATGAAAATAAGAGAAGACATAACCAGTGAAAGCAAGCTTCCATATTTAACTGGATACAGTTTTTCCTATATTTGAGAGAGAGAGAGAGAGAGAGAGAGAGAGAGAGAGAGAGAGAGAGAGAGAGAGAGGGGTTCTTTGTCTCTCTTGTATACAAGACTAACAAGATGAAATATTGAGGTTGTCTTGTTTTATAGCTCATTCCCAAATACTTAATTAAAGATTTTTTACGCTATTTGTGTATTGATTATTTATTAAAATATTGTTTCTCACTCTTTTACGATTATCAATTAATATTTGTATAAAAAATAATTATTGTTTTTTAAGTAAAATGATGGTGTAAATCATTTCTACAAACAGTTCATTGAGATGCATTGAATCTGCTGCTTTTATTACAATCATAATTCATTTACTGTTAATAAACAATTAAATCAAAGAATCGACTATTTATCCCATAGTCCTACTTCCTTAACAGCTTGTTTGGATGGTTGTTCCCGTTTGTATCGTATTGTATTGTTATCCCAAAACAATGTTTGTTTTGATTGTTTCATTAAAATTAATTGTATTGTATTGTTAAATTCATTGTTCCGGAACAATGAAAAGTCCCATTTTTTTAAACAATCGATTTGGTGTGGTGGGATTGTTTCCTATTTTTCTTTCCAATTATGCCCTAACTTATTACTCCACAATTCTATTTTACCCTTTAGCTTTTTTTGTTATTTTAACTCCAAATCTCCAACCTATGACCTACTTTATTTTTTTTCAGAACTTCTGCCACCAATGTTAAAGGTGTTTTGCCGCCTTCTGTTTTATTTTTTCTCCTAATTTGCTTTTAACTCAATTCTATTTAGTTGTGCTCCCTTTTTGCCTTATTTTGTATCGCTCTTTTGTTCTGCTTGTTTTGTTTTTTAAAATTATTCTTATGTATAATTTTTGATAAATTTAATATTTAAACAATTGAGGATATTTTAGTAAACTTATCAGTTACAGTATAGTACGATACAGTCAAATCGAACAACGAAATATTATTTAACAATAACAAACAGTACAATCTATCCAAACATTATATTCATAAAATGATACGATACAATACGATACAATACAATACAATACAATACAATACAATACATTATAAAACAATGGGAAATAATGATCCAAATAGAGTGTAAGTGGATCTAGTACATGTATTTTCGTATGACGATCAAGTATGTGTTAGATTTAATTATTATGAAGTTTCAGAATTTTAATTAGCCCAATTTGGAATTTTTGGTGTGAGTGAATTGTGGAGGAGCCTATAACGAAAGAGTGACTTTCAGATTTTTTTGGTCATTATGAACTTTTAGGGGACCAAAATCAAATATATAGTGACTATTTTTTCTGTTACTAATAGCTATTTTTCTTGTAGTGAATATAGCGGCAAGAGTGATAATTACAAAATGACTTTTCCAAAGTATGTTGTTGATTTTCTAATGCTATAGCGTATTTGAGATATTCATTTCCTTCCTAAAAAACATTGAAGTTAAAGGCTAAAATAGTATGCTTCTCTAGTTCTCTAATTAGGGGTGTACAAATGAAACCGACAAATCGTACCAATCCGCTAATCCGAGTCAAACCGAGGAAAAAGACCCAACTATGGTTTGGTTTGCTTTGGTTTGGTGTTGGAAGAAAAACCCGACCATAATTGGTTTGGTTTGGTTTTAACTAAAAAAAGTCAAACCAAAACCAAATCAATCCGACATTATATGTATAAAAATTTTAAACATGTTTAATACATAAATATATTAATTGTATAGTAGTTTATAAATATTTCTTAAACTTTTTCATAATTTTATCTTTTAACGTATTATTTCAAGCTTGGACTTATAATTTTTGGATGCTCCAATAACTTTGTAGTCCATAAATGGTAGTAACTCAATAAATCCTAAACCAAAATCAAATTAATACTAATACTAATAAAAGATATTCAAATCAATAGTACTATGAATGAAAATAGTGTTGGATATCTATTTCTTAGTTTTCACATGGTTTAGATAAAATGCATAACTTATTTTTCTTTTAGTGTTTAGTCATGTAAATAATATATAGTACTTATTAGACGTACTTATTTTAGCAACTTAGTAATTTAAAATTATGTTTGTTTTCACTATGACTTATTAATAATATTTATTTTATGCGATTTTATTATCTTTCTTGTTGAATATTTTAGTACAATGTCATGACTCATCTCATATTTATGTTACTTTATTGAAAAATGCCTTATTTAGTTCTGTCTTACTAGGATTAAAGAAATATTTGGAGCACAAATTCTATGTTTTGTGCTATGAAGATTTTATGAAAAAAAAACCCGAAAAAACCATAAAATCCGAAAAACTCGAGAAAAACTAAGACTAAAAAACGCGACTTTTATTGGTTTGGTTTGGTCTTTAGATTTAATAACCCGACACAATTGGTTTGGTTTGGTAATTAGAAAATCCGAACCAACCCGACTTATGTACACCCCTACTCCTAATTAACAATTTAGCATGCGAGGGGCTGAAAAATGTCGGTTTTTAATAAAAGGCAGCCCGGTGCACTAAACTCCTGCTATGCGCAGGGTCCGATAAAAGACCGACCACAAGGATTTATTGTATGCAGTCTTACCCTATATTATGGTAAGAGATTGTTTCCACGGCTCGAACCCGTGACCTCCCGATTACATGACAACAACTTTATTTGCATGAATATATATAATGGACAATAACTTGTACTAGTTAGCAATTTAGCAACCATATAATGATTCATTTTTTGCATGTAAAACCTAGTTTATGCAAGGTTTGCAAGAGACATGCATTGACCCTAGTTCCAATAGGGGTTCCGCAAATTCAGATAGAATCATGTGATTCTTCATCCTTATGCGCGCTTGTGATCTCAATGTAGCGACAACCTTCATGATGATCATCATACTATTTTTTTGGGTTACACCGGTTCAGTATTCATATTGGAATCCAACTAAATTTAAATTTGCATTAAAAAATTAATGTGAGAGTCAAATCATTCCCTAATAATGATAATTTCATATTCAAGACTTAAATTCAAGTTTTTTAATTGAAAATGAAAAAATACTTACCGCTCCGATACCAACAGAGTTGGTATGATCATACATCCTATTCCTTAAAAAATGAGTCAAAAAGGATATATATGAAGTGTAAATTAACTGGAACTCACGTATATGTCTTTCAATCGTTTTCGTTTAATGTCATTCAACCATTAATTATGGATATAGACCTAACTTGTCCCCACCTATTCGCCAATCAAAACAATCCCTTGAATAAATTCTTTACCAACACAAATAACAATACGCTACAAGGCTTTTAACCCCTGTTCCTAGTAAAGTTGGCAATGTTCAAGTAACCATAAACTAGAAATATCACAATTATTAAAAAGAGATCATTTTCACTTATGCAGGCAAAAGCAACTGCCATATTCTACAACTCTCTTTCAGTTGTTTCTGAACTTATTTTTAAAAGATGAAGTGATGAAGTAATCCCAATATAGTCAAATACGGGACCATTCATGTGGATACAAGAGTTTCACGAGGATTGATCTTCAATAATCCCAGTGATATTGTCTTGGCTATAGTGTCTCTTTTAATAAAAAAGAATATTATGACGTTCTTTTTTTACTTTTTAGGCAGCAAACTCTTTTCTCGTCCCCACCCCCACGAAATCCATAGCGCCATACTGCCATAAGCCTCATAGGTGAAGAATAGGGGACTTTCTCTGGTCCATTTTAAATGTGGTTTTAAAATTTAGTAGACTTATCCAGAAAATTATTTAACAGCATTAACTATAAGGGTTTGTTTGATTAAATTACCATTTATCTATGCTCAAAATGAGAAATAACTATTGAGAGAACTTTAAGAAAATTGTACTTCTTTTCATTTTATGTGATACATTATCTTGTTTTAGTTTGTCCAAGAAGAAATAAAACCTTCTTTATATTTAAAAATAATTTAATTTTAAACTTTTCGTTTTACCCTGATGAGATGCAAATAGATGTCTATAGCGTGGTTTAAAAAGTTGTTATTTCTTTAGTAAACTCCGTATTAATGTAATATTCGGGTGGGTGTGTGGGTGGGGGGGGGGGGGGGGGGGGACGTAATGTA